CAGAGAAGGCCCTCCCCCTGGGGGTCGCCAGCCGACATTGCTTGGCCGACGGCACCCTGAGGAGGCCCGCTCTGTGGGAGCGTACCGGTCTGTGGGAGGGAATCTGTGGCAGAAGGCGGTCTCGGAGGTATCCAGGTCCTATGCCATGGAGCGCTTTAAAGGTGGTAACTAACACCTTAAAGCGTACCCGGAAGGCCACATGCTCTGATTTAATGGATCACATTAAATCAGAGCATGGCATACTTTTCTCCCCAAACTTATTATCAGCCTACACTAAAGTATAACATGCAATGACTAGCAATGGATAGATTTCTGCTTTCCTGTACATTTACAAAAAAAAAAAGCAAGATGATCCCAATTCATAGCCTTTTCATTCACGGTTAAATTTACATTTCCCTGCATGAATTCAATTCCAACCCAAAAGATAATTCAGCTTATTATATCCATACTTCCTTTTATGCACATCTTTTCTCTACGTTTCACAGATGAACAGCATGTACAGGTAGTCCTCAACTTACAACAGTTAGTTTGGTGACCATTTGAAGGTACAACGGCACTGAAAAAACTTGACTTATGACTGTTTTTCACACTTACAAACATTGCAGCATCCCCAGGGTCACATGATCAAAATTCAGATGCTTGGCAACTGACTCATATTTATGATGGCTGCAGTGTCCCGGGGTTATGTGATCATCTTTTGTGACCTTCTGACAAGCAAAGTCAGTGGGAAAGCCAGATTCACTTAACATTAACAAATGTCTCACTTAGCAACAAAATTTTGGGTTTGATTGTGGTTGTAAGTCAAGGACTACCTGTATTTCCTTCTGACTGACTGTAATAATGAAATATTTCTCTCTTTTCCAGTTAATTATACCCAGTCATTCTTTACTCACCATAGAAAGCAACAAACTGGCTAACTATAAACCTGAATATGCTCTATAATCCAGAGCTTCCTAAAAGTGTCTCCTTATTTTACTTTTAATGGCGTTCAATGTGTTTTATTTCAAATATTTTTTTACTGTAATCTTATAATTTTCCAAAGTGCCTGAAGGCAGGACAAGAAGCAACGGATGGAAACTAATCAAGGAGAGAAGCAACCTAGAACTAAGGAGAAACTTCCTGACAGTTAGAACAATTAACCAGTAGAACAACCTGCCTCCAGAAGCGGTGAATGCTCCAACACTGGAAGTCTTTAAGAAGAGACTGGACAGCCATTTGTCCGAAATGGTATAGGGTTACCTGCCTGAGCAGGGGGTTGGACTTGATGACCTCCAAGGTCCCTTCCAACTTTATTATTATTATTATTATTATTATTATTATTATTATTATTATTATTATTATTATTATTATTATTATTATTATTATTATTATTATTATCATCTTATAATTCATTATTGTGCTTCATGTTTTATAAGTGCAAATCATATAAATAATGTTCTTGATTACTTACTTTGCAATGATGAGGTCCCTTTTCTGTTTTGCTACAATGCTCTCCCTGAAAATGTCCTTTAAAAAAGAAGGCAGGGAAAAAAACAAGATTGGTTTATTATTATTTTTAATTTTGTAATAACACATATAACTACCTGGCAATCGAAATTATATTACGGTATTTCCTTCAGGTATCAAATAGACATTGTCAAGTATTTGAAATACGTCTGCTCCCTAACCCCAAACTCTCATTCAGATGAAATCCTACAAATTTCTTGAGTAATTATTTATATTGGCAAACCAGTTCTATTAAACTCAGTATGACATTCGTTTGAAAATAATCCATATCCTTAGGATATTATTCTGCATCATAGAGGGTCAATGTGTTCAAAATCATGCCCTTACCATTCTGTTTGACTGACTTCAGACCAATGAATTCATGTTCTTTAGCTTTTGGAAACACTGGGTGGCCATCTCTGAAATCAAAAGAAAGCTTTACATTCAGCTTGTGCCTAGGATACAAAATGGATTTTATCACCCACATCACTAAATATGTTTAAGACTGGTGACGTTTCACCAAATTTTCATAAGAGAGAGATCCTGTCAGAAGGAATCTAATATCATGGGATGCCTAACAGATCTTAGGAACACAGGCAATTAATGAAGCAAATAGGGCCATTATATTAGAGAAGAGATTCAGGAGCAGGGGAACATGAGAAAGAGATTTGGAGTAACTCTGCCTTAATTACACATGTGGGAGGATTACTTTAATAGGCTTTCAAGATTCAGCTACATTACTAGGAGTAAAAAATGTTTCCAGTAATTCAAGTGGGTGTTGTTTCTTAACCTTGCCAGCCTTACAGAGTTTTATCTGGTAATTTCCAAGTCTCAAGGCTAAACCATCAGAGGCTTAAAATTTTTTCCAGGAGTAGCTCTGCACGTTTAGAACAACAGATTGAATTTTATCTAGTTCATATTTAAAACTAGCTGTACCCGGCCACGCGTTGCTGTGGCTCAGTCTGGAAAAAGCGTGTGTTGCTTTTACATCCAACAGATGGCGGTTTTTCAAAAAAAGCATGTTTTACCTGTCACAGGTGTGACATCTATATAATATAGGTATATAAAAACACACGCGTATTCGAATGCAACGTTGTGTCAAAATTTCAAAGCAATCGGTGAAGAACTTTCGGAGATTTAAGATTTTGAACAAACGAACATTTACATTTTTATTTATATAGATGTCATTAATTACTAGAAATATAATGTAAGCATCATTGATTTCCATGAGCAGATTGATCAGAATTACAAGGACCCAAATAATTTTTTGATAGTAAGCAAATTGGATCTTGTCTTGGATGGAAGGCAAATTAATCATGTTCTATTATCTAGTGTAATAAATGATGTCAGCAGAATGTGGATTATTCAATAAATCATGGCTAAGCAAACTTCAGTTCAAATACTTAAAGGGAAGAAAGGATTCAATGGAAAAAGACCCTGATGTTGGGGAAGATCGAAGGCAAAAGGAGAAGGGGACGGCAGAGGATGAGATGGTTCGATAGGGTCACGAACAAAGTGAACATGATTCAAAGGTGCTTTTTCAAAAGGCAACCAGACTATTTTTTTTTTGAGGAAGACATTTCGTTTCTCATGCAAAAAGCTTCCTCAGTTCAGTCAGAACTGAAGAAGCTTCTTGGATGAGAAGCGAAACGACTTCCTCAAGAAAAAACAAAGTCCAGTTGCCGTTTGAAAAAGTACTTTTGAGACAATCATGACCTGGATGACTGAGAAAATCTCCATAGACATTTAGCAGTGAACATGAGTTTGGCCAGACTCTGGCAGACAGTGGAGGACAGGAGAGCCTGTCGTGCAGTGTTCCATGGGGTTGCGAAGTGCCCAACACGCCTTAGCAAAGGAACAATGAACAAACTTCACTTAGTATGACCTGTAAATCAGGCCATTGGTCACATCCTGGAATAAAGGTAAGACTGAAATCAGCCCAACTGCAAGTACCTTGTTGCTTTCAGGATCACATTTGGAAGAGCTATTTCCAACGCCCTCTTGGCTTCTTTCAAGGTCATTCCCTGACTGCTGATCCCATTAATATAATGGATGACATCCAGAATGTGGAGTGTTCCCTCCATGGCTGCAGCAGATTTGGGACTGATATCGCTAATGTATAACACCTGATAAAGACTATCATGGCCACCTGCAAGGGAAATACCTGGAAAAAAAGGGAGAAAAATACAGTTGCAAAGGTAGAACTCAAAAACAAAAGGG